AAAATATAAAGAACCAAAAACCTTATGTGGGGAGCCAGAGATAAGGGCATAACAACCGGGAACCAGCATTGAGTGACTGCAGAGGTGGAGTATTTAAAGGAAACAAAACAAAGGATGAACTAATGAGCTGAATAAGGAGCAGGTGTGAGCAGAACTGACAAGAAGGAGCCAAGGGGAAAGGAAACAAGCACAAGGGGGCAACAGAAAGTAATTAAAGACTGCTTTAATATAATGGAAAAATAAACCAAAGAACAAAACAGAACAAGTGATAACAGAAAACTAAAAACTCAGAGTCACAAATGGGGAGAACCATAACAAAATCAAGAACACCAACTTTACTGTAATTGCTTTATTTTCCATTATCTTTGCTTGATGTTATGCTGTTTGATATAAACTTCGAATTTTCTTTGTTTTACATTTTACACTCTTGATGCCTAAACGAACCTTAACTTGAACCACGGGTCATCATGTCTTCTTTTGGCCCAGCAGAGTCTAAACATTTCTGCCATCGCTGAGCCCTCCACACATGTTGCCCCTCTCCTTTTTAAAGTAGAAGCTGCAGTTTGTTTGCATAACAGTTTTTTAAAGAATTACTATACCATATTTTATTTACTTTTTTTTTTTTTTTTTTTTACCTATGTGGCACTTCAAGTGTCTGTTTTTTAAAAACTTTGAGCTGCTTTCTCTGGTGTCTTACACAGTAGTGCTGCTGTTGGTTTTATTTTTTTGTTTATATGTGATTGCACATTTTCCACCTGTCAAAATGATAGGTATTCACATATGTGTATTTCCATTTATTCAATCTGCATTTTTATTGCTATTGCACATCCGTGCAATACTTAAAGACTGCTAACAAAAGCAATACAATATTTCAGTTGTACGTAATTTATTTAATATATGGAAAACCACGTTAGATTATTTACAGATAAACAAATAAGGAAAACACTTTCTGAACAATATTGGGGCACATATAGGTGAGAATACTGTCACATAAGAAGTGGAAAACAAGGAAGACTTGTAATATTTGACCATCACATAATTTTTAGGTATTGCTCATCTATCTTCTTCCCATACAGCTCTTCATTCAGTTTTCTGTTCTCCTCCAGCAGGCAGTCTTTAATAAAAACTAAAAAAAAATTCACCCTTTCTGTTCTTTTCTTTTTATTTTGCCCCACCTCCAACTTCTGTTCATCTTTATCCACTTCCTCAATCAGTTCTGTCTTAATAATGTCTGCCACAAGACGCCTGTTTCACAGAGCAGGTTCAATAAACTCAGACTCAAATCCTCAACTCTAAAATGATCCAGCCTAAGGAAGAGAAACAGTGTTTTCAGTTTCATAAAAGTTGCTGTGAGTTAATTTAATCAACTCTGAGTCAGTTAACTCAGAACTAAGCAGGTTTTTTTTAACAACTATGAAAAGCTATTATCAGTGGAGCCCTGATTCGAAGAATCACTGTGACAACAGACAATAGTAAGTGCCTATTCACATGACTGGAACTACAGATTTTGGATTTTGATGTAGAAATAAAAAAATAACAAATTGGAGAAAAGAGCAGCAGCACTACAGCTGCAAAACAGAGGGAAATGAGGTAGGAAAACATTGCTGCTGAGTAGATCAGTTGGATTATATGCAGTCCGCTATGACAGGCTGTTTGGACATTTATTAAATTAAATTCAGTTTATTTATGTAGCGCCAACAACAATAACACAATTACATCTCAAGGCACTTTACAGAGAGAATTCAACCAGATCATGCAGTCAGACTGGTTCAAAGTTTTCTACTTAGGGAAAACCAGCTGATTGCATTGACGAGTTAAAAACCACTCTTTTTTTTGTTGTTCCATTTGTTGATCTCTGAAATTATATCGTATTTTATCTTTAAATAAAAGCAGCACAAATTATATATATAGAGTTTAATGGGGGGATGGTGACCTCTGGATGACCTAAACAATTTTCTTTATTATGTCTCAAACAAAAGAAGCACAAACAATATTTTTTCTGCACTAACAGCACAAAGCATTCAGTCTGTTTGCAGAGTCTTTTGATGTGGGTGGGGTGTCAGCTTCATCCAGCTGTGCAAGTGGAGCGTTTGGTAAATGGCCCTTAGGCTAATCACCTTGTTAAGTGACCAGGATAAAGTGAA